TATTGATGCTCATGCTACCTTAGATTCTGCCTCGTGATTTTTAACAAAAACACTTTAGGTCAGCCGAAATGTTTAAAATGTGTATGACTTCAGTTTTTATTCTGATATTGCCTCCACAATAATGTGTTTCCATGCAAAATTAGATTATAATACATGTGCAGTTACTAGAGACTAAAATATTGATTGAACTGCAGGAAAATACTTGACAACAGTAAACACTGTTTTGGCTAATATCTGCCTTTATTTGACCAAAAGTCCTTATGCAGCTGAGAACTTTCCCCTTGGTCTTAAAATGGCCTACAAATGTGTTAATTTGGTTTTTGTATTGAACGTTTTTTGAGTTAATTTGGTGCAACGGATTAAACCAAAGATCAGACAGAGCAAATGCAAGAACACTTTGGAGGCCAATATAAGGAAAACATAAAGGATTAAACTACCCACTTGACCACACAATAATAAATGACAATGAAAAGCTTCTGAGCAGGTTCAACTAGACAAAAAAAAAAGAAGTTTAAATAGCAATATGTTAGAATTTGATCTAATTTGTGACATAAATGTTGAGTTCAAGCTGAGATTTGTTATGAGAACATGTTTCAAGTGTTTGAGGGATTCTATTTCTGTCCCTGCAGCAGATGCATTAAACACCAGGCCTCTATGGTGGCATATTTCAGGGAAATCAGATGCTTAAATGACCAGTAAATGATAACAAGGTGCTGCCCGATATGCACTGCTTAGTGTGACTGAGAGATAAAAAGCACATTCTTATCTTATAGGTAAGTGGGGTGAAATTACAAATGGATTTTAAGATTATAAGCAGCCTGCGTGTTGTACCTGTTGAGCCTCACTTGTCCGGAAGGCGTCCCGCAGTAACTCCACCGCTGCAGAGGGATCAACGAACCTGCGGGTGGAGCCCACCATGAGGGCGAACAGGCAGCGTAGCTCCTGCATGAAGGATATGTTCCTCTTGTCCTGTTTGACACAAACTCAGAGTTAAACATTGCTATCACCGCAGCATCACTCAGCATGTAAATGAAAGCTGCTTTCTTTTAGGAAATAAAAACAAAAACCCATTAACCTGCAGGAAAGAGATACTGAAAACGAAACGCTGATGCTGAAGAGGACTTTGAAAGAATAACCCATTATTAGAAGCCGTTACTCACTGCATGGCTCTTACACTTCTCCAGTACTCGCTCTGACAGATGGTAGTTGAGAACCAGTCTTCTGAACACAGGCAGGTGGAACAACGACTGCAACAAGACAACGATGCAAACATTATGAATTCACTCTTAAATAGGTCAAACCAGTAGATGTGGATTAAATTAAAGCTCTGTTGAGTCTATTAACAGTCATTTTAACTATTTGTACTTACAAACTGAATTTGAAAAACTGAACTGGATTATATGTGGATTTAATATTACCACTTCATTAAAAAAAATTAATATCTCAATTTTTTTCAAGATAAATCGTGATATACGATATCAATATTTTTTTCTTTCCATAAAGTAATAACAACAGTATATTTCTGAGTCAAAGCTTTGTCCCAGTTGTCACACAGACACATTTATTAACAAACCGCTGTAACTACAAAATAAATGTCTAAAAAAATAAACTATTTACATATAGTAAATAATAATTCTCTTCAGCTGCGCCACCTTCGTGACGTTAGTAAACGCGTATGAAGCAACACGTGAGAGGCTGTGTTTGTATTCAGTGAAGTTGGCGGCGCAGACGGGCAGAAAAAGGAGAACTACGTGGATTTTCAAATAAAATACTCCATGGTTGTGATAGAGCCATTTTCACCATCGTAACTTGAACAACTTGCGATACACTGAGTATATTCGATAGGCCTGTCGCGATAAACAATAAATCAATTAATCGTATGATAAATTAAAAATTATCGACCTCATTTTGCCCCCCACCCCCCGCGTAATGTCTGCGTCATTATGTGCTAATGTGCGAGATTTTTTTTCATTATCACGCTGTTGACCTTCAACTAAAGGTTAAATGCGTGTTAAGACATTTTTTTGTCTCCAAACCATTTGCATTATTTTTCACCACTTTTTAAATGTCTGTCCGAACAGGTCTCACTTGTAAATGAGTCTTCAAGGCTCAATGTGACTTATTTGTTTAAATAAAGGTTAAATGAATGAATGAAAAAAAATCTACCTCATTTTCATTTATCGGCTTTATAATTTCTTCGTGCCTCTCTCTTTCTACTGAAGACACCGGATGACAAAAAGCTCAACTCCGGTGCTCTTTAATGATCCCTCCCTTTCTCTTTAAAATCAGTTTTAACGATCCAAAATCACATTTTTGGATCGTTAAAAGCAGCTAAACTGAGAAGCTAAGCTACGAGCTAAGCTAACAGGCTAAACTAAAGAAGAAACCTCCATCTTGTCAAAGCTCCAAAATTCACGGTTGAAACCCGTGCCTTCGTCTAAAAAGTTGTTTTTCTTTGCAAAAAGAAGCTGAGAACTTGTTTACTGATTTTTTTTTAATTAAAAGCTTTGTGTGAAAAATGCTCTGCTAAAGAGCTCAAACCACACCGAACGTTTGCCATTTTGAGAACCAAAAAATAGGAACAAGCGAAAGCCCATGTCACGTCAAGGGGCCTCCCGCCCATTTTTTTTTTAAAGAGACGCGGCTCTCTCCCTCACTATCCATCCTTCGGTTCAAACAGTCTTATACTGCCATCCGGTGGTCAAAAAACGTACTACACACAAATTAACCAACATTTCTTCTTAAATTTGACATTACTAATTATTGTTAAATTTCAAACAATATCATCGTTTATCACAATAATTTCTGAGACAATTAATCGCCCATCAAAATTTGTTATCGTGACAGGCTCAATATTCGATACATCGCCCAGCCCTACTTTATTTATTTTGAAATTTAAGTAAAATAATATAGTGGAAACATACATAAAATACAGTGGGATACAAAAGTATTCACCCCTCTTGCCTTACACCAGGAATTTAATGAGATTTTTCATTTGAATAAAAGCGAAACCTCTCCAAAAACACTCCAAATTATTCTAAGATAAAATATCCCAGGAACTTAAACATCCCATGGAGCATCATTAAAGCCAATTATTAGAAAATTAAACTATGATGCCACCACAGTAAACATGCCAAGAGAGGGTTGTCCACCAGAACCCTCCGACTGGGTAAAGAGGGTCTTAATTAGAGAAACATCTAGGAGTTTAAAGATAACGTAGCTCACTGTAGGCTGCACAGAGCGAGGCTTTATGGGAAAGTGGCATAAAACAGCCATTGCTAACAAAAAAAGAAACAAGCTGGGCTGTTTGTAATTTCTTCCCCAAACATGTGGGAGAAGATGATGTGGTCAGATACGACCAAACCCAAGCTTTAAGACCGCCAATAACAAGACCATGTCTAAAGCACATCTCCTCTCATCAGGCTGAGAACGCCATCCACAGATGAAGTCATAGCAGTAGGTAAGTCTTATGTGCGTGGAGAGGTTGAAGCTTCCATTTGAGCAGGAAATTCAATTATGTTTTATCTCAGCTTTACAGTAATCTACACACAATAACAGGGAGAAGTGAATCGTGTGGCCACTCGGCTTCAATCTGATAACATGAAGAGTTAATAGACGAGCCTGCTTTATCAAAAACCATCCTCTGTTGAATCAGTTCACTTGTAAGAAGCAGAATTAACACCAGCTAAAAAAATAAATAAAAATAAACAAAGGAGAGTATAATTTGAACTCTATTAGTATTCTGACAACACAGCACCATTTCCCTGTTTCTCTCCCAGATAATAACACCTGCTCTGTCGGGGGTTGACGTCTAAATGGATGCAGACGCATATCTTAGTTCAACAGAGACAAACAATTATTGTCTCTGTTCATTTGTGGCGTGCTCGCTCACTCCATCGCTCGCCACTTAATTAACCACACAGCCTCTGTAGATCTCAGAGAGGGTTCTGGTTTCTGTCGAGCCACCTGATAGGCCTGAACGAGTTCAGTCTGGAATGGACTTATAATAAAATTACTAGCTCAGATAAAACGCTCTAATTTAGCAGAAGGTCACCCAGGCATACAGTATTTGTTTTCAGTTCCGTTTTTAACCTTATTAACAGTGAGAGAGAGGAAATTCCAGCATGATAATTTTACTGCTAGTAGTAAATATTTTTTCTAGAGATGTTTTTTTCTATCACATAATTGTAGAAAAAACAATATTTAGTTTGTAATGTTGGTATAATTTTTTGTAATAGTGTCAATGCTGACTCAACATATCTACTTTTGCATACTTTGTGCTATTTTAGCTATGCATGTGTTCGGCTCATTCAGGAAAAGGGTGTTGTGATTTTATATTTATCAAAATATTTAACTTTATTTACAACTATTTCCCTCTAGAACTGCACTGATATTTTTTAAATTCTTGCAAAAACATTATTTTTGAACTCTGCTTCTACATATTTGCTCTATTTTTGTCTTTTTATGCTATTTTAAGTGTTCTGCTACTTTTAGATTTTAGTTACAACTAGGCCACTTTTAGTTTTTTAGCTAGCTTTTAGCTATGTTTTGCAGGAAACGTGGTTTCTCTAATTGTGTGAATGCTTATGAAGCTTTCACACTATTGTGATGCATTTTTTTTCATAAGTTTTTTGGCATCTTTCTTGTTCCACATTTTTTGTGCTATTTCAACAAATCATATTTCAAAATGTTCGGCTCTTTCAGGACAATCCTGCTGTGACTTTTGGTATTGGTACAACTTTAGCTTTTTGAAATATTTAACCTTTTCTGCCATTTTTCCCTTCATAGAATATGAACTGAGCTCATTTTACATCCTTCAAATCTTTAGATCTGTTTATAACTTTTTACTGCTCCTTTCACATTTTGTTCTGGTTCGGCCTCTTTCAGCTTCTTTTTGTAAAATTAAACTTTTTTTCAGCTACTTTCAGCTGTTTTTTCAGCTGTTTTGTGCTCCTTTCAGGTTCTTTCTGCTAACTACAACATTTTTGCGCTTCTTCTAACTTTTTTCTGCTAATTTCTGCTCGTTATGCTCCTTTCAGCTTTTTCTGCAAGTTTAGCTTTTTCTATTTCCACATTTTTAGCACTAATTTAAACTTTTTTTTTTCATTCAACCTTTATTTAAACAGATGAGTCACATTGAGCCTCAAAGACACATTTACAAATTTTAAGCCTAACTTGGAAAAAATGTGCTCTCTCCTCTTCCTTCTGGTGATTTAAGCTTCTTTCTGCCTTTTTAGCTACTTTTCAGCCGTTTTTTTTGCTAAATTCTGCTTTTTTCAGATAAATTTCACTTTTTTGTGCTCTACTCTGCTTCTTTCAGCCTAATTGAGCAAACGTTTGTTCTTTCTGCTTCGTTTATCAGCTATTTTCAGACAAACAAGCTTTCAATGGTAATTTTTCAGATACTTTCAACTTTCAGCTTGTTATGCTCCTTTCAGCTGTTTTCTGCTAGTTTCAGCTTTTTCTGCAATTTCAGCTACTAAGCTGTCTTTATGCTAATTTTCATCTTTTTAGCTAATTCCACATTTTGAGCTTATTTCAGCTCTTTCCACTTCCTTCTGGTAGTTTAAGCTTCTTTCTGCCTTTTCAGCTACTTTTCAGCTATTTTTTTTTTTCTAATTTCAGCCTTTTTTTTTTAGCTAATTTTCAAATGTTTGTGATAATTTCTGCTTATTTAAACCTAATTCAGCAAAAATGTGTTATTTCTGCTTTCTTCTACTAATTTAGCCTTGTTCTTTCATTTCAGCTACAATTCAGCATGTTTTTTTTGTTTTTTTTTAGCTAATTTCAGCTGTTTTTCAGCAAGTTCTTCAGCAATAAGCATTCACACTGCATTTTCACAAGAAATGCAGTTTCTTTAGTTTCTACTTATAATAGTTTTATTCTAAATGAAGTATGATAGAAACTAAAAGGGCTGCAGTTGGCTCGTTTAATTTCTGGTTTGTGTTTATTTAACAAGTAAGAAGCTTGTATTTCTCACCTGGATGACTGCACTAAACCAGCAGGTATTTCCTACATTGCGAATCCCCACAGGCCATTCGTCCTGACGGATCCAGTCTGCAGGGCTGCACATTTCATTCTGGACTTCACATCTCTTCCTCTTCATTCTTGCTGCGTTTTCCTCTACGCTGGCCTCCAGAGCCCTAGCAAATACGAGATTACCATTTTAAAAGGGACAATCTGTCATGTTATGTTGTTCATTTGTCATATGCAGGTTGCCACAAGGTCAACAATGCAATGAACTGTTCAGGATGAGAAGAACTGGTTAGACTCAATAAAAAATAAAATAAAATAAATACTAAAGCATGCAGTAAGGGTATAAAATGAAGTACCAAAAAGTGAAAAAGAAATATATTTACAAGGTCTGAAAGAAAATATAGTAAACAAGAACATGGGAGAATAAAACGGTGCATGTAGGACAAATTAGTATAAATAAGTATTTCACAGGTAGCAATATAAGCTTAAATGCACATGATATACATTGCACATAACATATTACAGGGGTTGTGTGACAGGTCTCTGATTTCTAACTAATCTGATGCTAAAAATATTTTTGTTAAATGCCTCAAAACCTGGAAAATTCTAAATGTGTTGCTAAATGAGAATTAAAGGATACAGGTACAGAAAATGTTGCCGCACGATTATTCTTTGGGTTAAAAGATTCACAAGCCCTAATGCTCAATACATTATACAGTATTTTGATGCCGTAAAGATTAATATTCTCTCTTGACAAGTTCTGTCTCATTAAAAATGGTTGAATGCTGCACAGATTATTTGCTTTAAGTTAACAATCAAAGCCTCAGGCATCATTGAGAAGCGTGTTTCATAGTAGAAGTCTGTCAGGAACAAGCAGAGTATTCTGTGGAAAACAGCTTCTAACAGATTTTCTCTTTGCAACTTTAAATATATTTCACAAGCAGTTTCACATATAGACATAAATCCTCTTTGACATGCTGAATTAGCAGCTACAAAACGCCATGCTCTTTCTGAACACTGTCAGCAGGGTTTTTGTTCATAAAGCAAAAAGATGGATAACTATATTCAAAAGTATTTTACATGAAATAGAAATTACTTAAATATAAGGTATGAAATACCTGAAATATATGAAATACACGAAAAAAAAAAAAATATATACCTTAACCTGCAAATGGCTCTTTAAGAACAATTTGACTTTATTGACTGAATATATGAAAACTAACTTCTTCAGGGCAGTACATTATAATAAAAGAATATTAGTATCTATTTAGTAGTCTTTTTCTGTTGTTTTTAATCTAAATAAGTAATTTTTTCCACAGCAGTGCAACAAAATGTTTTGTTTTACATATGACAAGGTTATTTTTAAATGTAGACAATATACCAGAAGTGAAAAAGAGATACGTTTTTTTAAATTCTGATTATAATTTGTGACTTTATTCTCTACTGCAATTTGTTGTTTTGAGTGTTTTTGATTTAGAGTTCTATATAAAAATTCAAATTCAAATTCAAAAATATTTTATTAATCCCAAAGAGAAATTAAATGTTGTTGTCACTGTTCTCCATTGTTGTCATCATTCTTTGTTGAAATCAGGTCTCTCTTGTAAATGAGTCCTCGAGGCTCAGTGGGATTAACCTGTCTAAATAAAGGTTGAATGAAAAACTCGTTATCTTTGTTTCATTAAGAGATGTTATAGATGCTGATGGCTGTAGGCAGGAAGCATCTCTTGTAAAGAATCGTCCCACAGCGGATCCAAAGAAAGTGGCCACAGATGCCGTCCGATCCGTCCACTCACACTTGGCTGGCCTCTCGGCTGCAGGACGGCCCCAATCACAGCTGAACTCCTCCCAGAGCGATGGCCACTCCTTCCAGTAGATTGCTGAGCTCCTCGTCGCTGCGGACAGCTGGCCGGGAGACGATTCTGGTCCTATTGCTGTCACGTCACGCTTCCTGCCAGTTCCATGATCTCAGTAGTGAGGCACTCCAGCACAGCCGGAAGGGAGACGGGAATGCATCCTTGGCGTCTCCTTTTCACTCATTTGAGGTTTGGGGCTGTAGCAGAGCTATTATTTGAGATTTTGAGGTGTTAATCAGCTGGTTGTAGAAAACCACCTAGTTGTTATGGTTACGCATCATAGCAAATGTCCACAACAAAAAAAAAACATCAGTAAAAATCCTTCCGGGTGCACAGCGTCCAATACCAGAGGAAACAATCATCCAAAAAAAAGTGATTTACATCCAGAAAAGTAGGAATTAAAGTTTCCAAAAGCAACTTATCAGAATGAATCTAACAGAGCTACTCCAACATGCAGCCACCCTGAGCAGCGCAATTCTAGAATGCAAACTACTTGTTATAACCTAATATTAATAATATTAACAATTACGGCCATTTGAAATTGAGCTATTTATGCAATTGTTGAGCAAGAGAGGAGCAGAACAATCACTGTTTCAAGTTTTTGAAAAAATTCTGTGATAGTACATACTACCTCGATTTATAAGAACAATAATAACAATAGCATTTGTCTTGTACCTGTGGAATTCCCTCTCTTCTTCCTCGACTTTGTGGGCCTCCTGCAGGCTGAGTTCAATGGCGGTCTGCAGCTCATCTTTAGGAAACAATAAGTAAGAGGACAAGAGAAGCTCCATGCTTCAAAATGAATTCTCAAACGTACAAAAGCTTCTCATAAAATAAATCTTGTGTGGTAATCTCTTTTGTCTTTATTATAAGCAAAACTGGTTTTAATAACTAAGCAGACAACCTGTTCTACCATTAGCATGCACCCTCGAGCTCAGTTTAATCAAGAAGTTAAACAGTTTTACATTTAAAAAATTTTATAAATTAAAACTAATGGGCACTACATTTAGGAAAAGCAGCCTCAGTTCACTTGCTGGTTGCATGCTGCAAAGCTTATTTTCAGTTTTATTACAAAATATCTTTCTGGAAAATTTGAATTTTGTCATAAAAAATCAGTCACACCCATTATATTAACTTGGACAATACAGATGAAAAACACCAGTTTCATATTGTGTTACTTGTTTACAGATAAACACCGTGTAACGTTTAAAATGTCTTACAAATTGCACTGTTGCTGTAATTGGCACACTTCCTGTTTGCAGCTCTGCTGTGCTGTACGCTGGCGCAGCACCGCTTTGTTCTCCCTAATTTAATTGTCTTGATTGTGTTTGGTTGCTTTAGTGTACACTAACAATTTATTATGAACATGCTATCCATTTAAAAGTGTTGTCTATTTTTCAATGTCAAAATTTCCCATTATGTTGAATTTGTACTTCTAAGTTATCGTCCATCAGCATTTGAAACGTGAGCAATAATAATAATAAGTTAAAATGTGATTTAATCACAGTATTGCATTGCCCTGCTGGTTTCCCAGCATACCTTTCTGGCCCTCCCAGGTTTCTCCAGATGATCCTGACTCTTGTGGTTTTGCAGGGTCCTGAAGCTCTGCAGTCTGAGTTGTTAGCAGACCCACAACATGACCGGTGTCCCCTTGACTGGCCTGACAAAAAAAAAAAGAAAACAAGAATAAATGACAAATTATCAAAATAGACACAAGATGAAACATGCTGTGTATCATACAATTTGAATGTTGCATTAAAGCCACCTGCGTGTAGTCATTTCTGATTTTGAACGGCATGAGTGCTGCAGAGATTTTATCTCCTTGTTTCTGCACTAATTTGAAATACCGGAGTCCCTCGCTACCTCGCGGTTCGACTTTCGTGGACTCGTTCTTTCGTGGTTTTTCAACGATCGTCAACTTTAATATTACTCACTTGATTTGGACGCTACGGGATAAAACGTTAACAAACAAAAAATAAAGAAAGAAATACTTCAGACAGGCGCCGCCATTTTGTAGTTTTCTTTCAATAAGCCTATACTGTAACGCCAGTCAAAACTACACTACCCAGAAGCCAACAGTGCTTCCGGCCGCTGCTTTCTACTGAAATGCAGGGAAAGTTTTGCACCGCAAATCTACGCTATCTATTACGCTCACAGATAGGCCTGTCACGATAACAAATTTTTCTGGGCGATTATTGCGATAAATGATAATATTGTTTAAAATCTGACAATAATTAGTAATTATTGTTAAATTTAAGAAGAAATTTAGGTAAATTTTTGTGTGTAGTACAATTTTTGACAACTGGATGGCAGTATAAAACTGTTTGAACAGAAGGATGGATAGTGAGGGAATGAGTAGCGTCTCTTCAAGAAAAATGGGAGGGAGGCCCCTTGACGTGACATGGGCTGTCTTTCCTTCCTGTTTTTCAGTTCTCAAAATGGCGGACGCTCATTGTGGTTTGAGCTCTTTAGCATAGCATTTGTCACACAAAGTTTTTAATTTAAAAAAAAAATCAGTAAACAAGTTCTCAGTTTCTTTTTGCAAAGAAGAACAACTTTTTAATCCAAAGGCACAGGTTTTAACTGTGAATTTGGGCGTCGACAAGACAGAGGTTTCCCCCCACCGAGTTAGGCCTTTTAGCTTAGCTCGTAGCTTAGCTTCTCAGCTTAGCTGCTTTTAAAGATCCAAAAACGCGATTTGGGACGGTTAAAACAGATTTTAAAGGGAAAAGAGAAAGGGAGGGGTCAGTGAAGAGCATTGGAGTTGAACTTTTTGTCATCCAGTGTCTTCAGTAGAAAGAGAGAGACACGAAGAAACAATAAAGCCGATAAATGAAAATGAGGTCGATAATTTTAATTTATCATGCGATTAATTGATCTATTGTTTATTGGGACAGGCCTACACACAGAACTGGCAGGAAAGTTGCAAATAATCTTGAAGCGTCCTGAAGCTCAATTAGCCACGTGCACATCTACCTGGGAGCTTCGTCGCTGCAGGGTCGGTCTGCAGAACCGGAACCGAGCTGCTGGTCTGCAGAGCCGGTGAGTACATTTTTGCAGTACCGTACAGCACATATATGTATGCTGTTAAAAGTACGAGTTCAGAACATCCCGAGTGTGGGAAGCGTTTATAAAGCCTTAATATATATAAATACTAAAATAAATATAGCGTTCCTACTTTGCGGTTTTTCACCCATCGCGGGGGTGCGTGGAGCATAACCCCCACGATCATCGAGGGACTACTATACGTTGAAGCAACCCAAATCAATCCAACATCCAATCTCCACATTTACAAACACAAACCAAACGCCCTGACCTTAGACATGCACACAGTAACTAAATAAATAGCACAATTCTGCTGGGGGAGAGGCGCTATAAACAGCTTGCTGTCCCGACAGCAGGTGCTCATGTCATTGTATCTCTGTCACACACACATACACACAGGACGGCACGATCAGGCTGAGCAGACTTATATGGAGTCCAGGGGGCAATCTGAGACCCGCTTGGTTAGTCTCTATTTTAGGCCGCTGACATGAATAGCACAAGCTTCTGTTTATCATTCCACTCACCATGCCACTGGGCACTGGGTGTCTCTCCTTTCTTACCCAGACACACACCACCAACATCAATACCAAACAGAAAACAGAGGCAAACGCTTCAGTTTTTGACCTTACTTACAGAGACGCACAACCTCAACTCTAATGTGAGCTGCACGCTTATGGACGAATCACGACGCCGTGTAATTAGAACGGCCTGTTGACACAGGAGTAGCTTTGTTGGATGTTAGTACAGACGCTGATTTAAATGGAAATGTACAAAATGAAAGAATGGTTATAACCCGCTGCTAAAAGAAGGCAAAGACTGTGTGTTTTCATGCCATTCTCATGAATTTCAAAGTTCATGCTCAATAATCCAGGTAGACAATCCAACAAAGTTCAGTCAGGCCATCTGGATGGTTTCTTTTCTTTTATCTCTTATGGTGATTCTCTTGACACCAGCAAACCGGTTGGTTTACTATGCGGATGTGCTGCTTGTGGGACTCAGTTTGTTGCGGCTCCTCGGACTGATGAAGTCCTTTGGATGAAGGACGAAACGTCTCAACCAAAAAAGAAAGTGCGGATGAAACTGACTGAACTTCGCTGGATCTCATGAATTTCTGTTGGGTTTTAATTAAACTTTCTAATAGTAACCACATAAATAACAAATTCTATTCTTTCTTCAAATCTACAACTTTTGGAGTCAGTCTGATTCAAGATGGCTGCCACAGCAAAGTGATCTTACGAAACAAACAAACAAAAAAAGATAAATCAGCCAGCTCTACAGATGTTGAGCTCAGATTTGAGCATTTATCTCAACGCACACTTCAAGTGTAAACGGGTGTACAAAATATTAGCTTAAACTCATGGCATTGGTGAACCCTTTTTGTCTGTTAGCAAAATATCTAATGAACCACTGGATGGATTTCAATGGTGGTTGTAGCTCACCGTCACAACAGATCTTGTAAAGTGTTCATAACAATATTTTCAAGTTTCTACCATAAATATAATGTTATCATTTCTCAGCAGAAGATGATTTTAATCTAATACTGGAATGAAAGGTGGCGGGTGATATGCATTTCTTCAAGCAATGCTTGGCCTTTAATTACAGATTGAGGATTACATGCCAGCTCTATTTTTATGTATTTTTTTAAATCCCAATTTGTTTTTCAAGTATTTCATGTTTTTTTTTTTTTTTTTTGTGCTAATTTTCACTAATCCTGTGACGCAAATGGATGAAAATCATTTTCAAGCACTTCTCAGTAATTTTGAACTTAGAAGTTAGAAGTTAAAATTGAAATCTGCTTTATAAACTACGACTTTAGGAGTTAAAGTGTTTGTCCAGGCAACACGGAGGGGGTTAGTTAGTGCCAACGTTAGTAGACACTTGTCATTTATTGTGTTATTAAGCGAGTCGTGGCTCCACCTTCCTCCGCGCTCACCGAGTTCGTCGAGTTTTCTCCACCTTCAACCTGTTCGCCTCTCATCGCCGATGAAAAATCCCGAATTTCTTCGCGTTTTCCCGCAGAAATCTTGGCCGCACTCCCTCCTGCTCAAAGCTGCTCCATCTGTCACGCGCCGACAGCGACCGGCCATCTGCGCGCGCGCACCCACTTTAAAGTCAGCCCGCGCGTGGCGCAACGGGTGCGCGCCGCGCGCTTCAAAAAAAAAAAAAAAGAAAAAAAAAAGTCCGCTTTCATTCATAGTGTTAGCTAGCTACAGCTAATGCTAAATCTTAAATGTTTAAAGTTGTTTTATTTCTCGGATGATTTTCTAACTGTGGGCAGGTAAAATTACGTTGTACATAGTTTTACTTATAAAGTTAAAATACACAACTTAAAAAAAGTTTCTCGAAAAGTTTTATTTTGTGTTAAGCTGTAACTGGCTAGCAAAAATGCTAACCCTAATGTGCCTTCTAGACTAGAAAAATAAACAAAAGTTGAGTTAAATGCATTTTTAAAAAAAATTAAAACAAGTACAGCAAAATGTACAGCTCCCCCTTTAACTTGAATATTTAGCGAATAGACTTAAAACTAAAACACAATTTAAACTTTGGAAGATTGCACATGTTTAAACATTATCAATTATTTTATCTTATTTGAGCCATTTAAATTTTTCTGTTAAACCACCAGTTAATAAATTAAGTGTTTGATTCAAATGTTATGCCAAATAGTCATTACATCCATCAGCAAAGAAAATATCACCAAGTACTATATTTCAAATCGCAGTACATGTCAAGTCAGCTTTATTTATATAGCACATTTAAATCAGAACTTGTTACCAAAGTGCTTAACAAAAATGATCAAATAAAAAGTAACAAGATATACGTACAGCACATGGAATAAAATATAAAACATAAAACAATGAAATACTAAAACAGATCATCTTGTGTCAAATGTCAAGGACTAATAAGAAAACATTTACATTCCAGTACTCCCTGATGAAATATATTTTATTATGTATATGGCTAGTTTAATCAGCAAAAACCATAATCACAGAAAAGTATTCACAAGAAAGAATAGGAAAAACTAAACTGCAGACATCTCAACAAAACATGCGTGAGACCACATCTTTATTTATCATATAATACATAAAGTTAGTTTTTTGTAACTCTTCCAGAATAATTAAATGAGTTAAAATGGTTACGCAACCAAAGATTAGCTTAAACCCTAAAAATTATTATATTTTAAACATGTGAAGTCAATTTATATTCAAAAATCTGTTCATGTTGAGGATTTTTTTATTTTGATAGTAATGGAAAAATATATATTTTTAGCTTGCGTATAGCTTATGTAAACATGAACATTTTTACTTACTAAATATTGAGATTATAATATCAACTTGCAGAAATATAAGTGACAGCCTCTGCCTTATCATCCATTCCCATAATTTTACATTTTTCTTTTGTCATGTTTTTCCAGCTGTGTTGAACATCTGCAGAAACAGCTACCTAAAGTGATCTTTACTCTCTGGAGCTTCTCATCGGTGGGTTTCACTATCGAACGTATCATCTTACCCACGCTGTGGAAAATCAATGAGTCCAACCAAAATGTCTGCACCACCTCGTTCGTTGTTCCTGCTCTTCACGCAGTTCCTCAACAGCTGGACTTTTTTGCTTAAACTTTGGATATTTTGCCGTTAACAGAGGAAACCTTTGGATGTGACTCGGGGATAACGTATGTAATCTGGACGTATGATGTTTCTCCTTTGGCTAACATTAGTTTTCTCAGGTAAGATCTTTTAAACGCAGAAAAAAAAAAGTTTATCGATGTAGAATTCTTTTCAAACAAATGTGTGCTGCATCAGACAATCCCTTCACAATTTGCTTACAATAATTTTGGTCAGCAGCCTGGCTCAAATGCAGATTCAGTGTCAGAAATGTGGTGGTATAATTTCAATCACACAGTACTTTAAACAATAATGTGTACATAGAAAATCATAAACCAGAAAAATAAAATCACACCTGTTGTACACATCTGGAAATTAGTTATGAAAAATCATTTTATGTAAGTACAGTAAAAGCTTAAAACTGCTGTATGGCTTTGCTTTTAGTTTGTTTCACAGTCCTCTCTGTGTTATTACAATAACAAAAGTCAAACATCCAACATTTTAGTGAAGTTGACAACAACCACAAACCAACCTGCATCCACCTTTTCTTTCCCTCTCTAATACAAAAGGTCTGATAGCCAAAAGCTCTACTAGATCAGATTAGTCACTACTGCTTCATTGTTTAGATTTTCTTAATTGAGACAAACAGATAGCTGTTGTCATCTGAATTCATCATGTGGTTCCATGTTGATCTGATTGTGATCTGTTTTTGATTTGTAGCTCATCTGGCTGAATGTGTGCCAGAGAAGCCAAAAAGATCCGCTCTGAACCAGCTGACCAGGACCCTCCTGAGGAAATATGACTGTGGAGTTAGACCTGTTCACAACTGGACCAGTCCTACAACCGTCTACATAGACCTCATACTGCAGTCTGTCCTTGATGTGGTATATTAATTTATTTATTTCAGTCCATGACTGAAGGCAGAAGACAATGCACAGTTATAAGTTCATGAAAGCTCATTGAGAGTTTTCTAAAAGCCACTTGTTGGACTCTCAAACCACATAAAAACAAATGTGAAATATTTTAATGTGAGGAATTAAAATTAAAATAATAGCTCACAGTTGACATCATGAAGGCTTTCTTTGTTTCCCAGGATGGAAAGACTCAGAGCATCACTACAAGTATTTGGTACAGACAGGTATGTTGCCTCTCAAAGTTTACTTTCTGTTGCTCACGATTTGATTTAAGAAGGCAAAAATCAACCAGTACTAATAAAGTCAGCCTTCTTCTAGTTGCATAATTCATTTCCCGTCTGAATACAGTTTAAATTGTGTTTTATTAACTCTTTCAAAAAAATAAATAAAATGTGGCCGTCTGACAGAAATGCTCCCCTAAGTAAACCACTTGTGTCATGTGAATTTTTAAAGCGTTTATCTAAATGTAAAGTTAGAAAAACAAAATGTATGTTATTTTACCACAAATTTCCTCTGCTGTCCTCAGATCTGGAGGGACGAGTTCCTCGTCTGGGACCCCGAAGAGTTTGATGGCATCAATGAGATCTCGCTCTCTTCTGATGCCATATGGGTCCCTGATGTTATCGTCAGTGAGTTGTAAGGAAATCCAGAAACAGCCCCCTCAAAATAATTATTTATGTTCAACCCCCAGCTGAGAATCTTGGTGTCATCTGAAACAAAAGCAAATTGATGTTTGATCTCTTCTTTCTCTGTGACCTCAGCGTGGAAGAGGGGAAGTCCCCCCCAATCCCCTACATTTATGTCAACTCCTCTGGCTCAGTGAAGAATTACAGACCAATTCAGGCGGTGCTGGCCTGCAGCTTGGAGATGTATGCATTTCCTTTTGACAAGCAGAACTGCAGCCTCACCTTTCGTAGTTGGCTTCACTCAGGTGTGTTTCTTTCTGTTCACTGACAGCGTCCAAACATGCAATGACTCCATGTGCAAGCTCAAGCAAAACACAATGTAAAACACCCTAAAATGTATATAAATCAGAGATTATAACGAGTCAAATGAAGGCCAGAGTGGGCAAGAAACTAAGTTTTTTCAGGTCAATTTTAAACAAAATAAAAATAAAATAGATAAAATCTTTTTTTTTATTATACTTTTATTATTTCTTGTTTAACTTCTTCCTGAAAAGCTTTCATTAGTCGGCTTAAAACGGACCCACTGGATGAAAAATGACTACACGTTTCCCTGAACAGTGCGCGTCATCAGATTGTAAAATAGATAGTCCAGAAAATAAGAATTGAAATACCATAAAAAAAATAAAAAAAGACCAGAAAATAATGTTGTGTCTTTGTTGAACCAAGATGGTTTGGTCATAGTGTATCCTGTACAAAAACCTTCCACATTAAATTTGATTTCATAATAAAATAAAAGATGAAGTCCATCACTGAAGAAGATTACAGTGGTTCATCATGTGACTGCTGTGAGCAAAGCTACGTTAATCAACCCCCTCCGCTTTGCGTTCCAGAGTAGCAAACAAGAATTTTGTGTGATCTGCTAGCGCTTGGACTATGTGGCATGGATGACTCTCAGCTAATACCACCATTTTTGTATTTGCTAAAGTTAACTAAAGAAATTGCATTTCCTGCAAAAATGCAGCGTGAATGCTGATTTCAGAAGAACTTGCTGAAAACAGCTGAAATTGGCTTAAAAAAACATGCTGGAATGTAGCTGAAATTGAAGAACAAGCCTAATTAGCAGAAGAAAGCAGAAAGAACACATTTTTGCTGAATTTGGTTAAAATAAGCAGAAATTGGCACAAAAATTAGGAAATAAGCTAAAAGGCCGAAATTAGCTAAAAAAAAAAAAAAAGCTGAAAAGACAGAAAGAAGCTTAAACTACCAGAAGGAAGTGGAAAGAGCTGAAATTAGTTTAAAAAATGTGGAATTAGCTGAAAAGCCAAATTTGGCACAAAACAGCTAAAAGTAGCTGAAATATCAGAAAAAGATTAAACTAGCAAAAAAAAAAAAAAAAGTTGAAAGGAGCATAATAAGCTGAAAATAACAAAGAAATTAATTAGGCTGAAAGTAACAGAGATTACCATGAAAAACTTGAATTTATCTGAAAACAGCTAAAATTAGCTAAAAATGTTGATGAAAAAGTAGAACAAGCTTAAATTAGCATAAGGAAGTAGAGAGAACATGTTTGCCCAGTTAGGCTGAAAGAAGCAGAAATGAGCACAAAAATGGAAATGATCTGAAAAATGCTTCAATTAGAAAAAAAAAAACCATCTGAAAAGTAGCTTAAAAGCAGAAAGAAGCTGAAATTACCAGAAGGAATTGGAGAGAGCACATTTTTGCTGAAGGAGACTGAAAAAAAGTTGAAATGAGTGCCACAAATGCTCAATTAGCTGAAAAAGGTTAAATTAGCATAAAAAACAACCTGTAACTGAAATATCAGAAAAAAGTTGAAATGCAGAAATAAGCTGAAAAGAGCATACCAAGCTGAAATTAGCATAAAGAAGTTAGAAGAAGCACAAAAATGTTGTAGTTAGCAGAACAAATCTGAAAAGAGCACACAACAGCTGAAAAAAACAGCTGAAATTAGCTGATAGTAGCTGAAAAAAGTTGAAATGTGCACAAGGAAGCTGAAAGAAGCTGAACAAAAAGTGAAAGGAGCAGTAAATGGTTGTAAACACATCTAAAGATTTGAAGGATGTAAAATGAGCTCAATTCATTTTCATTGAGGAAAAAAAATGGCAGAAAAGGCTAAATATTTCAAAAAGTTAAAGTTGCACCAATACCAGAAGTCACAGCAGGATTGTCCTGAACGAGCTGAAGGTTTTGAAATATAATTTGTTGAAAGAGCTTAAAAACTGGGACGAGAATTGTGCCAAAAAAACACAAGGAAGACAAATGGATCACAATAGTGTGAATGTTTATGAAACGTTCACACAACTAGCTGTAGTGGCCTTAATGAACTGGGCTGACTTTAGAAGTTTATCAGTTGTAGATGTGTATCCAGTTATTAGTTTGTGAGACTTTAATTAAATTCTATGGTGGTTCACAAGACACTTCGCAAACAGGCAGACAAATGAGCGCACACAGACACACACATCTTTCATGGCTTTGGGCAATAAGAAACAACAAGAATCTTGTGCAGGGAATCAAACGAGCACCAAAAGCAAACAACACTGCATTCTTTTAACCATCCACATGACTTAGGAATTAAAATGTCACCAATAGTCCAACAGAACTTCAACTTTATTGCCTGACAAACAGTAAAAATATTAAATTCACTAAAAAGCAGCAAACCGTTTAAATGTCTGATGAGCTGGGGACTTGTCCCGTGTGTCTCTCACACATTGGCCTCTGAAGGATCAAAGATAATGAACGAGTGCGTCTGTTTAAATCTTGATTTTAAGTTCTACTTCGTTTTATTCTCTGTTCAAGTTAAATTTCTTTTACAAACGGGTCATGAGAGCTACAACTGGGATAACTAATTAACACGACGGGAAGATAAAAACCTGAACAGGCTTGTAAAGCTGCCGTAAGAAGATTTTTATTTCTTGAACTTCTTGGGAATTATCTGTGGCCTGAAGCAGCACATAAAAAAAAGGAACTAAACACATTCCGGTTATCTTTGCTTGTATATCTGAGAAGAGAAGCCCGAGGTGTCAAATTAAAGTTTATGTAGACACAAAAACTCTTTCTCTTACTGTTCCACAAAAGAGAGCACACACCACACAAAGGAAATAAATATTTACTGCCTTTTGTTGCATTTCCATCTTCCTGGCGCCAGTTTTTTTTTATTTTTTATCATTCTGTTTATTTTATCTCTCTCTGGGCAGTGAAAGAAATCGACCTGGCTTTGTGGAGGAGCGCAGAGGCCATAGCTATTGATAAGAGGGAGTTCATGAACGATGGAGAATGGGAACTCTTGTCCATTCCCTCACAGTACTGGCAGATCCACCAAGATGGCGCCGACTATGCTCAAATCCAGTTCAACGTACGTGCCCAACATATTCTAACATTTATCATATTTATCCCCGAGGCAACAGTTTATACGCCAAAGTTAAAATGAAGAAGTCGCTCTTATCTCGTCTGATACGTGTTCGCAGCGGCCGAGCGAGTACGATGACTGAGGTTGCTTGTCGTGAACTCGAGCCCTCCCCGGGTCACCCGTTAAAAACTGAGCGTTGGAGCAGAAGTGTCACCGTGCAAAGCAATCGGCTGCAAACCTTCATGGATTGAGCAACAGAGCTAATTCCCAAACGACGAGGCCGTGGCTGCTTGTGGCAAGTAAAGAGACGGACTGGGAGGGAAGCTGATAGACAGGGGAGGCTGAGCAACCATAATGAGACTGTCTCAGTGGCTGCCTGATCAATGGACCTCTTGTTAGTTGTGAGCAAAATGGCTCCATAGCCCATTGCAGGTGGAGGGCAGGGAGGGCCGCTATTTATTCAGCTCAGAGGACGAAGGCTTCTTGGTAATGGGGCATTTCATGGCTCACTGACATATTGTAAGACTGTGGCAGTGTTTTTCTGTGAGCAGACGTGTAATATAAAGTGGTTTTCAACAGTTCTGGAAAAGTTACATAAAAAAAAATGCAACAACTTCTAGTGTTTATGACTTCAAACGAACAAATAATCTCTGGATAGTACAAGTATATAAACTATCACATGCTGAAAAGATAAAAGGGAATTTCGTCCTAACTAAGCAAAATTTGGTAATTCATTAGGTCTTAAAAAAACAAGCTCAACAGATGGCAGCATGTTTTGACTTTACACAACAGAAAAATGTTGCGGCGTATTTGATATTTATGATTGCCGTTAAGAAACACGGCGACATGTTGTCACCGGAGGCCCAACACATTAAAGTTTTCAGCATGAAATCGTCTTCTCCCAGTCTAATTTATACTTTTAACTGAATGAAATAAACACCATGCAAGCTGTGTGTGACCATGTCAGAGGACATGGAGCTGCTTAATTTTTAAAGACAATATTTAACCCGTAGTCTTGTGAAAAGTGGTTGCACATTAAGCTTAACAAACTGAACACAATTTTTTTTTGTTCCTTTTAGGCTGCGTTATGAATCATTTCACACGTTCAGCAACAAAAACAGCTGAAACAAGACTATGGTAAGGGTGGGATGAATGCAGGCTTGAAACTATACATAGATTTAGTTAGTCCTAGGCCTGTCGCGATAAACAATAAACCAATTAATCGCATGATAAATACAAATTATCGACCTCATTTTCATTTATCGGCTTTATCGTTTCTTTGTGTCTCTCTCTTTCTATTGAAGACACCGGATGACAAAAAGCTCAACTCTGGTGCTCTTCACTGACCCGTCTCTTTTAAAAAAAATCCACTTTAACGTCCAAAATCACGTTTTTGGATCATTAAAAGCAGCTAAGCCGAGAAGCTAAGCTAGGCGCTAAGCTAACAGGCTGAACTCAGGGAAAATACCTCCGTCTTGTCGAAGCTCCAAAGTTCATGGTTGAAACCCGTGCCTTCTTGTAAAAAGTTGTTTTCCTCTGCCAAAAGAAGCTGAGAACTTGTTTACTGATTTTTTTTTTTAAATTAAAAGCTTTGTGTGAAAAATGCTATGCTAAAGAGCTCAAACCACACAGAGTGTCCACTATTTTCAGAACCGAACAAAAGGAAAGCGAGACAGCCCATGTCACGTCAAGGGGCCTCCCTTCCATTTTTCTTAAAGAGACACGCTGATTGCTTCCTCACTATCCATCCTTCTGTTCAAACTGTCTTATACTGTCATCCAGTAGTTAAAAAAAGTACTAGACAAAAATTAACCAACATTTTGACAATAATTACTAATTATTGTCAAATTTCAAACAATATTATCGTTTATCGCAATAATTTCTGAGACAGTTAATCGCCCAGCAAAATTTGTTATCATGACAGACCTAGTCAGTCCCTCTCTGCTGTGCTTCTCCGCCACTTTTAGTGCCTTTTCCTTGGCTGTGGTACATTCACATATATGTTACCAATGTACCGACTTTTAATTCAGTTTTTGTGCTCCTGGTTGATCACATAACAATAACTAACTGGTTTACAGGAAGCTAGCACCAGTTATTTCTACATTTTCATATTAAAGTTGTCGCTTTTGTCAGTTTTTGTGTTTATTTCTGGTACAGTGTTTGTGTTAAAACTTTGATGTAAAACAATATTGGTGTTGAAGATATTAAATACGTTTTCAGTTACACAGTCAAGTGACCTTTGTAAATTCGTATCCAGAGTCACCCTCTTGTCTTTCATCCAGCTGTTGATCCGCCGGCGCCCCCTGCTGTATGTGGTTGGCCTCCTCATCCCCAGCATCTTCCTCATGTTGGTGGATGTGGTGAGTTTCTACCTGCCTCTGAACAGCGGCACACGGATTGCCTTTAAGATCAGCATCCTTCTGGGCTACACTGTGTTCAGAGTCAACCTGACTGATGAACTGCCGGCCACTGCTCTCAGGACTCCTCTCATCGGTACGACGAGCTTGGATTTTGCGCTTTCAAAATCTGTAATATTCCAAATAGCATTTGCAGCATTTCCATATCTGAACTGCACAAAAGATTCTCACCGCATACACCAAGAAACCAAAGTACATTGGACGTAATTTCAACAATATATTTTGTAAAGACCCAATGACATATTAGAAAACATGACAAAACTGAAGAACCTTTTACAGGAGACACTGCCACATAAAATAAAACGTTTTGAAAATTCACATTTTAGGAAGAATTTACATTCCCCGCTGCCTTGTATGCTAAAGTTTTAAACAAAGACTTCACTTGATCTGTTAGTGCTTGAAATATACTGTATGTTAGTGATAACTCTCAGCTACTACCGCACCAAATCTTGCCTCGTTATCAGTAAAATTACTCAATTATCCATCCATCTGTTGGGTCATGGGATTCATTCAACCTTTATTTAGACCAGTTAATCCCATTGAGCCTCGAGGACTCATTTACAGATCATTTTTTAACAGAAAATTGAAGAAAACAGACATAGCCTGTCAGAAAATGATGTGATCGCCCATCTTTTATGCAAAAGGGAAAAAGAATATCATAGGAGTGCAAGAAATCTGCTAAATAAAAAATAAAAAAATCAGTTCCGTGTAAAAAAAAAAAAAATACTCTGACCTTTAGAATGTACAAAAGCCATAAACGTTTCAAACAGATGAGATCAAAACAAAAAGCACCACAATGGTGCAGATGCAGCAGAGCTTCAGTGATCCTGCTCTTCTTTCAGGCGTGTTCTTCGTGGTGTGCATGGCCATGCTCATGCTCAGTCTCATCAAGTCCATATTGGTGGTGAAGCTGCTTCATCACAGCGAGAAGGAGGTCAAGGAAATGTCACTGACTGCCTGCCTGCTGGACAAGTATGGCTCAGCTGCCCACGGCTTCACCGAGAGCGCTTTCACCTCCATCAAAACCCTCGACCACATCAACACATCTGGAGGTACACGCCGTGCTCCGAGTCCCATAAGACTAGGACATTGGACAGATCAGAGTCCAGTCTGTGTTTTTAGCAAAAGCCTTTTGGCAACAAACATTGAGAGTCGAAGAAGAAACAAAAAGAAGCCGAAGAGTTTCATGTACTGTTGGAAAATTTAATCTGAAAAAGGGGATGAAATAAGTCCCACCGTAAGAGATTAATGTGAAAATTGTTGCAGCGACACATTTAGTTTTTGTTATTAACGTGCATTTCAATTCAATTCAGTTTATTTATACAGCGCCAAGTCACAACAGAGGTCATCTCAGGGCACTGAACAGAAACACACATATAAAAGTAAGTTCATAAAATGAGTGATCTGAGGAGCAGACTGCTTTGAGTTTTAACTCCATCGCAGAACTCTCATCTTGAGCAAGAACAAAGGCGACAGTGGAAAGGATAAAGTCCCTCGTGAGGAAGAAACCTTTAGCAGAACCAGGCTCAGGACAAGCAGCCATCTGCTTCGACCGGCTGGGTTTGAGAGGAACAAGAAGGAGGAACAGATACACAATGGCAGATGAGAATCATGTAAATAATATAAATAATTTCAAATACAAACTATTCATTTGTAACAATTAATTTTAAGAAATTAGGTCAATTTGTCCTCCAGTAGTCTAAACCTATGGCAGCATAACAACCCAACCCTAACTCTAGGATTTATCAAAAAGCCCAGTCTGTAAACTGGACAATGTGTCAGCCTCAAGGACAGAAACAGGAAGTTGGTTCCACCATAGAGGAGCCTGTTAACTGGAAGGTCTTCCTCCCATTCTGCTTTTGGAAACTCTAGGAACCACAAGTAAGCCTGCAGTCTGAGAGTGAAGTGCTCTGTTGGGAAAACATGGGACAATAAGGTCTGTAATATAAGATGGAGCTAGGTTGTTGAGGGCTTTGTAAGTTAGAAGTAAGATTTTGAATTCAGTTCTGAATTTGACAGGGAGCCAGTGGAGATAAACTAAAACTGAAGAGATATGATCTCTCCCATTAACTCCAGTTAAGACTCTGGCAGCAGCATTTTGGATCAACTGAAGACGTTTTAAAGAAGTATTTGGACACCCAGAGAACAAACCATTGCAATAGTCCAGTCTAGACGTGACAAATGCAGGAACCAGTTTTTTTTTTGCATCATTTTCAGTGAAAATGTTTCTCATGTTGATATTACGCAGGTGGAAGAAGGAAGTTCTAGTAACGTTTATTTATTATTATAAGAGTCTTGTAATGCTTCTCAAACTTGATTTTGTTGATTTTCTCAGATTTTGACATTGAAAGCTCCCTAGAGGAGGATCTGTTGTCTTTGAATGGGATCCAGGAACGCCCCTCTGGACTGGACTGGCTGCTCCAGGAGCTGGTTTCCCTTCGTGTAGCGTTCTCCCAGGAGGACAGCGAGTCTTCAGCTCAGGCCGAATGGCTGGCTCTTTGTTTGCGGCTCGACTGCTTACTGTTCCGCCTTTACCTGTTCGTTCTGGCCCTGTACACAGGAACTCTGCTGCTGCTCTGGGCTGTTTGGAGCTTTGCTTGATATGACGACACATGTGCTGCCAATCATTTAATGCTCAACACGTCTATATTAATATGGATGCAGAACCTCAGAGTATGTTGAAAAACCTACTTTATGAAATTTAGGAAAGTTTATTAACAAATAGCTGAAAAAATGAGTCACATTAAATGTCATTCTTAAATGCTTTTTAAGATATGAGCAAAGAATATTACTTAATATGTACTTTCACATTGTTGAGAACATTTAAAGGGAAACTTTTTGTCGTTTTGTTTTAATAATTTACTGCAAAAAAGGGCAACTTTTTTCTCTTCTTTGGTAAATAGGTATAAAAAATATACATAAAAAGTCCATCAGTCCTACAGAAACTTTTTTGGTGTCAATTTTGAGTTGTCTTATACACACACTACTCTTTTTAGGTGTGCTCGCAAACTTACAATCTTAGTTTAAAAAAGCTGTGTTCTAGTTTCATTAGATCAAAAGGATCTTTTTCCAAAACACCCTTTATTTGGTTCTTAGTTCAGCTGCAAAGTAAATCATAAAATATCTGTGGCGGTCATGAACACCTCCAAGTAAAGATAAAACAAAACTAGACTAATTGAATTTCCTGCGAAAATGCAGTGTGAATGCTTATTGCTGAAGAACTTGCTAAAAAAACAACTGAAATTAGCTAAAAACATGCTGAATTGTAGCTGAAATGGAAGAACAAGCCTAAGTTAACAGAAGAATTAGATTTAAATAAGCAGAAATGAGCACAAAAAAGCGGAAATTAGCTTAAAAAAGAAGCTAAAATTTGTTTAAAAATAGCTGAAAAGGCAAAGAAGCTTAAACTACCAGAAAGAAGCAGAAAAAACTGCAATGAGCTAAAAAAAAAAAAAAGGAATTAGCTGAAAAAGCTAATTAGCATCAAAAGAGCTAAATAGTAGCTGAAAGAGCAGAAAAAGCTGAAACTTGTAGAAAAAAACTGACAAGCTGAAATTAGCATGAAGTTAATTCGGCTGAAAGTAGCAGAAATTGTCATGAAAAACATGAATTTATCTGAACAGCTGAAATTAGCTATAAACTTAAATTAGCAGAAGAAAGCAGAAATAATACGTTTGCCCAATTAGACTGAAAGAAACAGAAATGAAAAGTGGAAATTAGTAAACAATCTGAAAAGTAGCTTAAAAAAAGCTTAAATTACCATAAGGAAGTGGAGAGAGCACATTTTCACTGAATTAGGCTGAGTGAAAAAAATGTGGAATTAGCCAAAAAATCTCAAATTAGCTAGTAGCTGAAATAGCAGAAACGTTCAGAAATAAGCTGAAAGGAGCACAACAAGCTGAAATGAACAGAAAGAAGTCATACGAAGCACAAAATGTTGTAGTTCGTTGAAAGGATCTCAAAAAGTAGCACAAAACAGCTGAAAAAAGTTGAAATTTGCACAAGGAAGCTGAAAGAAGCTGAAGCAGAACAAAATGTGAAAGGAGCAGTAAAAAAATTGTAAACAGATCTAAAGATTTGAAGGATGTAAAATGAGCTCAATTCATTTCTATGAGAAAAAAAGCGACAGAGAAGGCTAAATATTTCAAAAAGCTAAAGTTGCACCGATACCAAAAGTCGTAGCAGGATTATCCTCAACGAGCTGAACGTTTTGAAATATGGTTTGTTGAACTAGCACAAAAATTGTGGAGCGAGAAAGTTGCCAAAAAACATACGGAAGAAAAATGGATGAAATGCTTCATAAGCCTTCACACAATAAGGTATTAAAGTGGTAACCGCAGTTCCATAATTTCTTAGAAAACCCTAATCCTAGCACGTTTCAAAGCTCAATCTTTTGTTTATGTAAATGTTTTTAGTTATACTGTAACTTGAACAGACATACAAAAACAATATTTAACGTGCATGAAACCAGAGCTGTCCTGTCTAGGACCTTCAGTACTCTTTCCACTGTGCACTAACATCATCACTCTAAGACGTTATTGTGTCGGGTCTGTTATTATGTTTCCCGACAGTGAAGATTTACTCTGAGATACTGTATAATATGGCAGCTCTCTGGAGGAAAGTCTCACTGCCTGTTTGGTGTTGTGATATCATATTCATATTTTAATCTCCGACCTTCTGCCACAAAATAGATCAGTGAAAGCTTTCCATATCTCAGCTGCTGCATCCCTGTTCCCCGTTGGTTTTCTAATAGTTGTGATAAGAATATTAACAGTGCATTACAGGAAACCTGCTCCTGAAACGATCCATGTTAATTCAGTTTTGTTGGGATTTGCAAACTCTTCTTTGAGTAGATCTGGTTGCACATTGTTATGCAACATAACAGAAGATAACGCGTCTGTTGCTTTGGTCTAAAGTACTTTCATGATGAGTTTGTGTGTGTTCACCGTGCTTTAAATGTGTATGGGCTAACGGGGTTTTCATTCCTGTATTTTTATTTGTTAAATGAATAGGAATGACTTGTTTTGAAAGAAATTCAACAGACAATAAATTTTTGTTCCAAAATCGTTGTGGGTCCTGCTTTTCTGAAACACGCATGAGCACGAATCCATTTAGAAAGGCAGCTACAGTTGAAATCTGATTCGGTAGACAAGTTATGGACAAGTAATATCTTACCTGTTGTAGATAACTCTTTGAATGAATTCTGGAGAGAGAAAAAAGTTGAATTGTGATCAGACTGGTGAGCTAACAGGTAGCCCAGTTAGATTTCTGCTGTCTTAAAACATTTCACAGCAGTTCATGCAAACTATATAAAATAAAAAATAAAAAAATATATATATATATATTGCAATGAGTTTTGCATTACATGTTTTTTTGTTTTGTTTTTGTACAATTAATTCCTCTGATCATTTGCAAGCTCAAATAGCAGCAGCAGCTAGCAGTTGTCACAATCGGCTGGTGCTGGTGAACCCAATGGTGCAGGCAAGGACTCAAGATATATATATATATATATATATATATATATATATATATATATATATA